TATCACGTTATAACGTGATAGCGCTCGGATTTTTTTTTCCTGCCTGATAGCAACACGCTTCCGTATGGGGTAAAGCATGTAAAACAATTATAAATCCAATTTTTGTTTTGCAGAAAACAGCCATAAGAATTATCGCTAGTTAATATCTGTTCTAAGCGGACAATATTGTTGATCTTTTATAGAAGGTACTCTATATCCCATGATGCTTCAGGCCGGAAGTGTTTGTTTTGCTTTTTGGAGAGAGTTATCTGTCGTAATTGTTCTGTAATCCTTTGTTTTCCCTTTATTTATTCACTAAAGTTCATCTGAATATTGATCAGGCTTCCTCTCGTCTTTGGATTAGTCAGCAGGAGGAGTGATGGAAAACTAGCTCCAATTCTTTCCTGAGCCTGAACAAGAAAACTGCATTTATCAGGAGATAAGACAGATTCATGGAGACAATAACCAATGAAATATAGTTAGTTTCACTTATATTCTGCTTAATGAAGGACAAAACCGTAAAAAATATTTCAATACTGGAAATTTGGGGGGGGGGGGGGGCTGTTGTTCCACTGTTTCTTCTGGAAAAGAGTGATTGGGAGGAACGGCCTCGCTGCTCTGAACACAATGGTCTTCTGCTACTGAACTTTTGTGCTAGGCATAGGTCATCTTTAATGAACACATTGGAGCCCAGGTTGRTCCATAAATGTACTTCCCAACAATTATGCAATTGTGTCATCTAACCTGCGGGCTTATGTCCCGAACACTCGGGTGAAGAGAAGGGCAGAGCTGTCAACTGATCATCACCTGGTTGTGAGTTGGAGTGTGAGGCTGCTGGACGGACCAGGTAAACCCAAACGCTTAGTGAGAGTGAACTGTTACAACGTCCTGTTGGGAGGTCAGTGACATGAAATACGAGTAGGTCTCAATCAGGGCCTCTGTTGCAGAGGTGACTTCTGGGAGGTGTGRCCTTAAGATCACAGGTGATTTACCWGTTGGTGGACATCAGTACTGGTGGAGGCTTATACAGTCTGGCTGTCCCAGAGGAAWCCTGAAGAAGCTGACAGGTACAAGGTGTCCAGAAAGACCACCTTCTGTGGTTGCAGATGTAAAACTCGGGTACAGGAAGAATTCAAACAGTCCATGAAGAGGTACTGTTAWAGTAGATGGCCTCGAGGAGGTTCCRCCAAACTCTTCAGGGACTCAGAAAAGGAAAGTAGGTCCAGTTATAGGATGTGCTTGGTTTGGGTGTAGAACTGTTGACCCAGACTGGGGATACTGAWGAGCTGTGGAAGTAGCACTGTGAGGATCTCCTTGTTCCAGCCACCATATCCATCTGAGTCTGAGGACCAGGGTCAGGGTGGTAAGAGTCCATTACYATGGCAGAGGTCAGGCTGTCAAAAAGCTAGGCGAGGCGTCAGGGATGGATAAAATTAAGCCCGAGGTACTGAAGGTTCTGGACGTTGTGGGGTGTTCATGGACAACATGACTCTGCATTTGTATACACATTATACTGTATATTTAAATTCCCATGGGATTAATAAAKTATTTTTGAAYTGAACTACACTGATGAGACTTTTCTTGGTTCACACAAACTGAAAATGAATCAATGTCAATCTAATAAAAATTGAGTTAAAGCCTGAAATCCAACCTTGATGTTGCCTTTGGCCATGTGTCGCAGCACCCAGATGCGATGGGACCAAGCATTGTAATTACTGGGATACCGGCAGGCAGCGTCAGAGCACACCTTCATTTCTTCATAAATTAATTGGGCCAGTTGATCGCTGACATGTTGAGTCCTTTCTGCATCGACCTCTGCTTCAACCTCCTGCTGATGTTTGTGGTGGTCCACAGCAGAAAACTGATGCAGAATATGTTGCAGCACCCATCGCCTGCAGAGAAACATAGATGTTAGATATGAAGATTTAGATTCTGCTTTTTTAGACAAATTTTCATTTACTATAAAGTTAAAATGTAACACTTGCATTGTCATAGTCATGTGACTATACCATTATTACCATAAAATAAATGGTTTGAGCCTGATTTTATCCACATGTTGTTCAACAACTTATATGATACGTTCAGAGGAAAATCCAATAATCTGTCATAAGCCAAAACAAATGTACCGTTCTTAGTTTGGATTTTAATTCCCTAAAAATATAACCTGCTGATTGTTGTTGAAATGTCAACATTTTTCACATGTAAACAGATCATAATTCTAGAAAATGTGTTAAAAAAGAAGTTCTGAACTAGTTAAAAATGCAGTTTTTTGCTTTTCTTCTTGAATAAAAAAGACTTGAAAGAAACAACAGGATTCTGTGAAGAATAAAAAAATAACTGGTGGGTTTTGGGAATAAATTGACTGACATGACACCAATGAAGCAGGTTACCATGTTCTTCCTTGTGATGAATGAGAATACATTTATTTCCTGGCTCCCACAGACTGCTGAACATTAGTTTCTTCCACAACATTACTGTTTGTTAAATCTATTAAGAAGGGATATGAGCTTAGCTTAGCACTCCAGAGAAAAAACTTGAGGTAGAATTACTGTTTCAATGCTTTTCCCTGTTTTAATTTATGTTTTTAGTTATTATTAGGGATKTCCCGATCAGACACTCAGTATCTGTATCGGTGGCAGATATSGCCATTTTTTGAAAATCGGGTAGAATTGGATTTRGTCATGTGATCGGGCCGATCCAGTTTTCGCGACAGTTTTCAGCATCATCATGCTTTACAACTGCTGTTAAGAAGTCAAGACGCACACAAGWATGYAACCATGTCCACAGTGTGGGAACMCTTTTCAATGGAAAACAATGATGCTGAAACTCCATCTTGCAAAATCTGCAAACTGGATGTTTCTCATGGTGGGAACAGCAGGGCTCGCTTTAATACTACCAACCTTGTCACTTGGACAGAAATAAAGAAATACAGCTATCAGATTGGTTTCGGAAAGACTAATCATTAAAAAATGGCACTGTATCGGGAGCCAAAATATCTGGATCGGGACATCCCTAGTTATTATCTTAAATTTGTAGGCAACAGATAATGATGTCTTATGACTGTTACTATCAGAGCAGCCAGGACCGTGCTGATCATTGAGTAATTTTGTTTTTAGATTCACAAAAGAAGGTTTGACTGAGACAAGCTCACTTCTTGGTACAACACAGAACTTCTGACTTGTGAAAAAAATTGTAAAAATAAATAAATAAATAACGATTATCTTAATGTGGTTGTTTGAGAACATGAAAAGATCCACACTCTGATGTCAGTTTTTCTTACAGCTCTGTGGACAGTACAAGTGACAACAAAGTGAGGGTAAGTTTCAGTAATAAAACTTTACCTGTGTATCCACGTTTCTGGGCTCTTTGGGAACTTGGTGAGAGTCARCTTGCCGAGGTAAAGGTCTTTTTCCGGGTTAAGAACACCACACTGCATCAACTCCTTCCTGTTAAAACACAGACATGCTGGTTGTTCCACAACAAAACATTTAAAAAGAAAACTCCCTCTGAAATAACTTGAAACAAACGTTTCGCAGCATGCCTTAGTGTTTATTTCTTATTTACTTTAAAAATCAAACACTTTAAGAAAGATTCCCTCCTCTGAGGACAGCCAAATCCAGTTCAGATGTTTTGGAAGAGGTTCTCCTCCTGACTGAGTCATAAAAAGAATTATAATTATGCAATTTACTGCATTATAAATTAGGGCTGGGCAATATGGCCCAAAAAAAATCTTTTTTTTTCATCCCAAATTTGATTTTTGATTTTAATTGATGTGTTTTTCACTTAACGGAGTGTCTCTGTTTCAGGTGTTGAAACAGCTTTTTTGCACTCCTGCTTTTTGTAGCAAGAGCCTTCAAACAGGTTTTGCAGTGAGGTGTTTATTGCTCCAAGTCCAAGTTTGTGAAGCCTAACCAGTTCCAGAGAACTGAACAGACAGTGCCTTTTTGGGGATGTAGATCCTCTTTGCTAGCTGCCATATTGTCATGTTGTGTACCAAGCATCTTGGGGGACAGGTAGGGTGACCTCTGAAGTACACAAGTTCCAAACAGTGCACTGATGGGAAAAAAAACTTGATTTTCCCAAACTTAAATCTTTATAAATGGCAAATTGAAATTAATCGATTAAATTGATTTACCACCAAACGCTATTATAAATAATTAGAATGAAGTGCAAATGTTTAATTTTATGTACTATCTATATAGTAATTTGCCAAGCACTTGTATTTTATAAAGGTAAATTTTTTTTTATCAAATGAAACTCAGGGGAGGTATTCATGCATTAAACGTGAAATAACAGATAATTAAAATAATTAAAAAAAATAATTTGGTAATGAACGACATGAAATTTGGACCAAAGTAAATGGTTTGGCAGGACCCTCTTCCTGTTCGTACCTGACRTTCCAGGCAGTGGTGAAGTCTGGGTTGAGCAGCAGCAGAGTGCAGGTGATGTCCACTAAAGCTGGGAGACACAAAAACAAACTGTTGTCTTGTAGCTGTCAGCAGCAGAACATACAGATGAATGATAAGATGATCTAAACCAAAAACATGTTTAACTCATAACCACGACTTTATTCCTGACAACTTGTTTATTTGTGAATGTATGAAATGAGAATTCAAACGGTGAAGCGTCAACATGAAACTGAATTTTCAGGCTCTGYTCAGCTGTAGGAACATTTCTACTGTTCCTTTAAAAATAAAATGTGAATTTCATCAAAAATATTTATAAATATAAAAGAGCTAACAAACTGTGTACTGATTTTTACACAACATTTGCTCCAGCTCGTCATTCCTCTGTGGAATGACATCTGTCAATCAACAGCGGCGCAACAAGTGAGGGTGGCTGGGAGGGGCTATGCCCCCCACCCCACCTCCCAAAATTTGGTGGCCCCACCATTTTTATCTTTGCTTTGTGTTGATTTTAATTTCCCCTAGATATTTAGGATTAGTAAAACCATATCAATATAAAAAATGTTTTTGCAAAACTAACACTTAAAAAATATTTTACAATTACTTAAAATAAAAATAAAGTTAAAATAATCCTGAATAAAGACAGCCAGTATAAAAAATGTCCTCAACATTAGGAAGCAGGTTCTTATGAGGTTAGAGGCGTTATTTTTCTATAAGATAAAACTTTATTGATCCCACAGTGGGGAAATTTGCACATTACTGCAGCTTAATACGGGAGGATGAGAAGAATAATGAAAAATAATAAAAGATAAACAAAAAACTAAAATAACCCCACAATATACACATGTGATATATAGTAATGTACATATACCAATGCACATATAAATACATATGCATATTTATATACATATATACACTGTAAATTACAATACAAAAATGAAGGTATATGAAGTTGCATATTAGTGATGGCAGTGTAGATGAATTGCCCAAGTGACTGATAACATCATGATGTGTTACAGTCTAACTGCAGTTGGAATGAATGACCTACAGAAGCACTCCGTCCTACAGTGAGGATGTTTAAGTCTCTGACTGAAGGAGCTGCTCATCCCCCCCACGGTTTCATGCAGAGGGTGGTGGAGGTTGTCCATGATGGCTGTCAGCTTTGCCAACATCCTCCTCTCACCCACCACTACCACAGGCTCCAGAGGACATCCCAGCACCTCTGTATCAGTTTGTCCATCCTGTTTCTGTCCCTTTCAGTACATCCAGCCCCCCAGCAGACCACTCCATAGAAAAGGGCAGATGCTACCACCTTGTCGTAGAATGTCTTTAATAGAGTCCTGCAGACACCGAAGGACCTCAGTCTCCTCAGTAGGTGGAGTCGACTCTGGCCCTTCTTATACAGGACGTCTGTGTTTGTAGTCCAGTCCAGCTTGTTGTTGWGGTGAACACCCAGGTACTTGTAAGARTCCACTGTCTCAATGTCTTTTCCCTGGATGTTCACCGGTGCCGTGGGGGTGTGACTTCCTCCTGAGGTCTATGACCATCTCCTTCATCTTGCTGGCATTGATTTGGAGAGCGTTGGTCTAACACCAGCCAACAAAGTCACTGATGACCCCCCGTATTCCTCATCATTCCCATCTGATACGCATCCAATGAAGGCCGTATCATCAGAGAACTTCTGAAGGTGGCAGTGGTCCGAGTTGTACCTGAAGTCTGACATGTACAGACTGAACAGAAAGGGTGAGAGGACTGTTCCCTGTGGTTTAGCAAACAGGGGTGTAAGAAAATATCGATACATTGAAATATCGCGATATTTCATTTCCCGATACTGTATCGATATTCTAAAGCCCTGTATCAATTTTTTTTATTAAGGTTTAAAATGTCAACTTTCCTGCCAGCCATTCATTTTATGTTGTAGTTCAGCCTCTGACGACTAGTTGGCAGCAGTGAGCCAGCCATTTGGCTCCTCCACAGCTTGAGCGCCAGAGAGTAAGAGAGCATTAGCATTGTAAGTAAACATTAGCTTCATGCTCTGATAGCTGAATCTGAGCAGAAAAGACCGACACCCTCTGCCTTCTAAGCTGAGGTAAGGTTACAAACAGTTACTTATTTGTCTGAATTAGGGATGCAAGTTATCGATTAATGAATTAATCTAAAGTTGATTGATCTTATCGATCGAC